GTATTCAAGCCAACAGTACTTGTTGTAGTAGTACGTGGAAAAGGCTCGTTTAGTTTTTCCAAACAATTTTGAAGGAAAATCTGGAACAATAGGCTGCTTAGGACAGCAGTGCTTGTCGCCAAGATCATTTGGTAGCTGCTGCACCGTAGTAGAGCAGCTAGGCAAGCTAACTGACCCCGACGATAGCCCCGCTCCCAATGGTGAGCTAGCTGGGTTTGCCGAGCTGGTCCCAGGTGTTTCCAGATCAGCATTTGTTGGTACTGGCTCTGCTTCGACTTCTTGCTGAGTGTTGGCAGAGGTCATGGGACGTTTTAAAAAACGTTGAATATCCATTTTCAGTTTGCAATCACACAAGGCTACAACTGTATGTTAGCAAGATAAATACTGAGTGGGAAACCACCAAGTAGCGGGAAACAGTATTCAACGTCACTATGTCACATGATTGCTGAAAAATAAATCTATTACAAAAATGTACTAAGATTCATATTAATTTCATACTACCATGTATTTTAATCAAAACATTAAAATATCAGTACGTATACATTTTTAACATTTATATTTTGCCATTTTCTTGACTTAATGTCATTACATGTTTCAGTGCCCCCCCCTGCCCCCCAAAAAACTCTGCCCAACATTTGTTTGATTTAAAAATAATTAAAGCCTTCAATAAAACAGATCATGAAGAATTTCAACAGGACCCTTTACTAAAATCAAAAAACAACTTTCTGTTGCACTACTATGGTGTCGTTATACACACGTTAAAACCATTTATAGATTTGTTATCATTATTGAGTTCTACTTACTCCCAGCGAGTTTGCCTCCATGGCCGTCTGCATTCCTGTGCAGGCATAAGCCAGCTCCTCTGTGATGAGGCAGGCATCAAAGATAGACAAACCCATCCCACCTAAAAGGAAAACCACCACATAAGGGGGTCAGCTAAACAAAACAGCTCAAATAAAGTCATATTTAGATGATTACTGTGTGGCAAATGTAGACAGTTTTTTTGGTGCATCTAGTAAATTACTTGATATGGAGTTTATAACTCTGTTTACCATGCTTCATTAAGGTTCATCACAAACACTAGATCCATGACATCACTCTGACCTGTACTCTCAGGTGGGATGGCCTTCCCTCTCTACGAGGAGGCAGTGTCATTGGTAGACTTTTATTTACAAGGCCCTTCTTGGATTACTGCCGTCTAACATTTGTACCTTACTTACACAGAGAAGCATGGCTTCTTATGCCCTGAGATCCAACAGTCAGCTGTTGCTCACTATTCATTCCGCTCACACAGAACTAGGGAAGAAAGCCTTTAGCTACGCTGCTCCTTGTGCATGGATTCTTTTTTTTTTTTTTTTTTTTTTTACAAACTGGAAGTTGACTGAGTTTTTATCTTTAAATGCTTTTAAGTTGAAAGTTAAAGAATTTGAAGCATTTTTAACTTTGCTGAATATTAGCCAGGACTCCCTTGAAAAGGTTTTTAATCTCATGTTATTTTACACATGTAATTTTGTCAAATTCTGGTGCGCATTACCGCCACCCTCTGAATTGTAGATACGCCTTCTTCTTGTTTTCTATTATGGCGGATCGCAAGCAACTTTAAGGTGCATACCGCCATCTACTGTACATGAGTGTGAAGCAACATTACATTACATCAAATTCTATTTTATATTTTTGTATTCTGTAGATAAATAAATAAATAAATAAAATACTTTCGTTAATCTGGGAATATCCTTTATATTTCCTTCATTTCCCAATATTCCTTTAAGACTCCATTCTTTTAGGTACACCTCGCTGCAGCCATATGCATTAATTAAATCGCCTTCAGCAGACTGAAAGTTCAATTGTGCCTTGCCAATTGATTAAAAAAACAAACTTAAATGTCCTTGAAAATCATCCAGAAATCACTAAGATATACA